TGGTTTTATTCTAGTTGAAACCCTTTCTATTCTCTTCCCTTTATTATCCCGCAAGTCTCTAGATGGCAGGGACCAGGTCTTTTGTGATCCTTCTCTCACATAAATAACCTCCTGGGGAGCGTGCCCCCCTGCAGGCCTCCAGGTCCATGAGACTCCTGGAATGAATATATCTTGGTTCCAGCTGCACACCACCCCTGCCCCCCATATATGTGTGTATGGACATAGTGGACAGTTGACACAGTGTGTCCACAGGCAGTGGACATCTGTTAGCTTTGTCAACCTAGCACTTTTCCCTTCTCCTGGGCATAGATGCACCTCTTTCTCTTTGGGGACAGCTCCTCCCTGGGCTCTAGCCATGTACTTAGAATGGGTGCTGCCATCTTGTTCCATGAAGGGTGGGCATCTGACTCAAGCCAGTCCAATCATAGCATCCTAGCCTCCTGGCCACAGTAATTGAGCCAGGGGTGGGCATATGATTAAGCTGAACCAATCAGAGCTCTTCCCTGGCATCTTTCTAACTAGAGCTGAGGGGACAGGTTAATTTCCTCTGTAGTGAAGCTATAAATGTATGAGTCAGGAAGAGTCTTGTCCCCATTTCTTGGAGTTTAAGTTGGTTTTAAAGAATGATCCCAATATACAGAAAAGGAGCAGAGATGAGAGACACATTATTCTCTCTGCTAGGATTGGTCGTTCAACTGTTCCTTTGAATCTGTGAAGGATTCCAGCTTCCTTCCAGAAACTTCCCCTTTCTCCCTAGTTGACTAGTCAGCGTCAGGTAGAGGAACTGGGTGACAAGGAGTTTTTTTGTTTTCTTCTGCACATCCTTTTATCCATTTTGAATTTTGAATGTATTAACGTAAAATCTAGGGGCACTGAGTTGTTAAGCATATGCCTTTGGCTCAGGTCATGATCCCAGGGTCCTGGGATCGAGCCCCGCATCGGGCTCCCCGCTCAGCGGGAAACCTGCTTCTCCCTCTCCCACTCCCCTCCTCACCCCCACATCCTTGAGATATGGGGCAGGGGCTGCTGATTGGGGACTCAAGTCATTTTATGGTCAAAGGATATTGGCCCCATAGGGATGGAAGTTGTGGGGACACCCAAGTAACCTACACTGGCTTTCACTTCTAAGACTGGATATGGGATCTCCCTTGAATCTTGAATGGGATACAAATCAAAGGCAGTTTTCTCTTATAACAGGAGAAAGAAAACCTACAGAAATTCCCATGCCAGGGGATGATGTTGGTTTAAAATACATCTCAAGAGATTTGAATGGAGGTGCTCAACCTTTAGGACACAGTGCCAGCATCACACTAGAATTAAGACTCTTATGGAAGGGGACCTATGGGAACCTCACAGGATGGTGTGGGCCAGGAGAGGGGAGTGAGATTCTCACACCCAAGATCCCTCTTCTCAAGAACTACTCTTTTAGGGGAGCCTGGGTGGCTGTCAGTTAAGTGTCTGCCTTCATTGCAGGTCATGATCCCAGGGTCCTTGGATCCAGGCCTGTGTCAGGCTCCCTGCTCAGCAGGGGGCCTGCTTCTCCCTCTCCTCCCTGCTCATGCTCTCTCTCTCTCTCAAATAAATAAAACCTTAAAAAAAAATTACCCTTTTAGAAATATCCCCCCACAATGGCTCCCTGAGTCAGCGGCAGATGGAATGCCAGCCATTGCATCCCCCAAATGGTCCTGTTCAGGGCCCCAGGCTGATGGGATGCTCTGTAGCATGTTTTTCTAACAATCGGATAAACCAAAACCGTTAAATATAGTCCTAGGCTCGTTCATCTTGAGCCCAGTGTGAAGTTCCCTCCTTCCCCTCACTCTCCAACACCCAATATTCTGGGACCAGATCTGAGAGAGCCAGTTATGGTGCCCAAAACCTTGATTGTAAGAGAACTGTTCCCTTGTCATTGTTCATTTTCAGTGGTGTCTAGCTTAAACTTGCTGTCTCAAGACTAACATTTTCACTCCTCTGACCTCTCAGAGCTATACACTCTGGGCATCTACAGATTTCTTAGGGGCGTCTGCCTTCGGCTCAGATCACGGTCCCAGGGTCCTGGGATTGAGCCCCACGTTGGGCTCCCGGCTCAGTGGGGAGCCTGCTTCTCCCTCTCCTGGCTGCTCGTGCTCTCTCTCTTTCAAATAAATAAAATCTTAAAAACAAAAGTTTTTTAAGTCATCTCTACACCCAACATGGGGCTTGACCCTGCAATCAAGGGTCCCATGCTCTACCGACTGAGCCAGCCAGGCACCCCTGGGCTCCTAAAGAGTTCTAAGGGGGCTATGAGGGATCTGTGGCACAGCAGATCCCAGGCTAATTGATCGCTTGTCTATGGAATAGTCTTGGCATTCAAGGCCTTCCATGGCCTGGCCTTGACTCATCTTGAAACTACATCACCTACAACTTCCTCACATCCTGAGTATGACCAGGCCAGTCTCCTGTCTTACAATCCCAATTACTGCCTCCCTGCCATGTTTCATCTTCATCCCACATTGCCTCCTGTCTCCTCTCCCTCTGCCCCATCCAACTCATCCTCCGAGCCTTGACTTCTCCAGTTCTGGAAGGACATATAAGAAGCTCTTAGCATGGGTATCTCTCAACAGGGAGTCTGGTAGGAAAGAGTTTTACTCTTGTGTCTTTTTTTGTTTTTTTTTACCATTTAAATTTTTACTGCATGCATTTTTTAAATTAAAATAGTTAACTTTAATTAACACATTATCAGAAGGAAAATAAAAATCCACCTTCAAAGCAGGACCCTTGACCTTTGTCCTGCTTCAATAAGGACCTCTGCTGCCTGGTAGAGGTCCACACCGAGTGTCACCACCTCTGATCAGCTCCAGGGGTGGAGCTCACTCTAGGACATGTCCAAGGCCAGTGCTGGAGGCTGGGGTGTCTCCCAGTGTAGCTGAGGGACACTTGGTGTGGCAGCATCCGCCAGGCCAGGATGTGGGAACCAGACGGCCCTGGCCCTCTCTCTGGCTCAGTCACTAACCCTCTTTGGGAATCAGCTCCTTGAGGTTAAACTAAAGGGAGGGACTCCAGCTATGTGTTCAGGTGTTCCAAACCCACGTCTCAAATGGAATTTCTCCCCTTTCACACTCTCAACAGCCACAAAAATAAATTAATTTAAAAAATTAAGAAAAAACTGTTGGTCTTATTCTCTGTGATTTAGATTATGAAAATATTGATTTCCTGCATATACTTTTTAAAGCAGAATACTGCCTCCTCCCAACCAAAACACTGGACTAGAGTGTTCCCTTCTGCTCTAAAAAAAACCCCAAACAAACAAAAATTCCATTGAATTTGTCTGTTTAACTTCTCAACTCCTCTTCTTAGAAAGCAGAAGGAAGGGGGGAAAAAAAAAAAACCCAGTTAGTTGGATTCCAGCTCATTACGGAGCCACGCTGCAGAACCCTCTGGCCTTGTGAAAATGCAGTCTGCAATCTGGACACCGTTTATTTAATTTCGAGAATTCCCTTTGCATGGCAAAAAAGGGTCTGAGGAAAGCAGAGCGGCGCAGATGAGGGGAAGGGTGGAAGCAGAATGCTCACAAACGTGGCGCCGGGTGCCGGCTGCTCACTGTGCTCCCTGAACTGGGAGAGAAGCAGGATCGATGGGAGGAGCAGGAAAAGTCATTCTTGACACAAACAAGGGTCTTGGGGCGCGCCACCCCATCCCAGTGCCTGGTCATGCAAGATGCAGAAATGGAGACCATGGCCCCTCAGGACCACGGAGCAGATGCACCAACTCAAGGGAGTCCTTTGGGCGCCTCCCGAGGCGCCTGCAGGGTCTGGGGCAGAGTAGGGTCTGTGTCCATGTCCTTGAGCATGGTCAGTTAACAGATAGCACCAGTTGGGAGGCTCAGGGCAGGAGACTGAGGCTCTCAGACTCTAGCACCCACTTGCCCGGCCCTCCTGGGAAGAGACTCACTTCTTTGATGGCTGCTCCGGCAGCAGGAGCCTCTCCCTCACCCCTTGGCCCTGGGGAAACTGGAATAAATCAACAAAGTGAGGTCTGACCCAGGGCACCAGCTGCCTCGGAGGGCTGGGTCACTCCTGGGCAGTGAAAAGATGCTGCACCAGATTGAAGGGCTGGAGGTGGGAAGGACAGGCTTGGGGAGGGACCTCCTGCCCAGGAATGCCTACACAGGAAGAGCCTTTCAGATGCACAACCCAGGGCATTGTGTAGCTGCTGATGGGTCCCCCAACCCCCGGAAACCCCGGGAGTTGGCCCCCTGCTGCTTCTGAGTTTTGGTGGCTCAGGGGAAGGAGACAGGAGAGAGAGAACAAGAAAGGCCAGGCCACAGAAGTCTCTCAGACATGGGAGGTAGGCAGTGTGTGTGGTGGGGGACACTGCACTGGGGTCAGGAGCCCTGGTCCCAGCCCCGCGGCTCTCTTCTTGTGTCGTCCTGGCAAACCATCCACCTGGGTCTCTTTTCTCAGTAGGGCCAATCCTACCCCACGTACCTCAGAGGGACAGGCTAAGGGTGAAAACGGATAACGGATAGAAAACACGTTTAAAAAAGTCTAAAGCGCTATTAGAACGCGAGGCAGTTCTGTCATCAGAGATGTTACCCCTTAGCTCGTTCCTCATCTCCTCGTCACACTTCTGCTTCCTTACTCAGCATCTCTTAACCGTAGGACCTCATTTATCTCAGAGGGCTTCTGAGACTCCCTAGTTGCTTCCCCCGATCACAAACCGGGACTCCAGTGGCCAAACGGGCACGCTAGGTGTCTGAGGGGGATGCCCGAAGCCTCTCGCCCCCTCACTGTCCGTTCTGGCACCTACCCTGAGGGAAGACGCTCAGCCGGCCCCTTGGTCCACCCTACGAGATGAGCTGGCCACCCATTTAGGCCGGACAGGTCTAGGGGGCCTTGGGGGACCCCGTCTGGAGTGCAATTCCTCTTCCCAATTTCCAGCAGGTGGCAGATAGAGGGAGGGAAGGCGCGCCGAGAACCAGGGGCAGGATCAGGGGTGCTCCGGCCGCCCCCCCCAGGCCCTGCTCCCGCCTCCGGGCCCTCCCCTCCCCTCCCCCAGCCCAGCCCTAGTCGTGCTCGGGCGGCGCCTGGAGCTGCCGAGGGGCGCCGAGCCCGGGGCCGCCGCTGTGCACGCGCAGGTGGTCCTTGAGCGACTCCTTGTAGCGGAAGCTCTTGCCGCACTCGCCGCACGTGTAGGGCCGCTCGCCCGTGTGGATGCGCTGGTGCTTGAGCAGGTTCTGCTTGCGGATGAAGCTCTTGCCGCAGAGCGCGCACTGGAAGGGCCGCTCACCCGTGTGCAGCCGCTGGTGGTTCTGCAGGTGCTCCTTGCGGCTGTAGGTCTTCTCGCACTCGGAGCACTTGTAGGGCCGCTCGCCGCGGTGCGTCATCTGGTGGCGGATGAGGCCCGAGTGGCAGTTGAAGCTCTTCTCGCACTCGGCGCACTCGTACGGCCGCTCCTTGGTGTGGCTGCGGTGGTGGATGATGAGGCTCTTGCGCACACCGAAACTCTTGCCGCACTCGGGGCACGAGTAGGGCTTGCTGCGCGCGCCGTGCAGGAGCAGGCTCCGCCGCAGGCCGCCCGGGCAGCAGCTGCCGCAGCC